TAGCCTATCTTATTTTGCTTTGAATTTTTAGTTATCAATGCAATTAAAAAATTTGTTTTTCCGTAAAAAGAATTGCAAAGTCACTTTCTTCGAACTTCTGATTACTAGAGCAGCATGAAGTTTGATGTGAACACTCTTTATCCAAGTTTTTCTGCGACTTAACGTTTTTGTGTTAATCAAATTGGAGTCATCTCGATCTTGATAAGGTCATTTTTCAATTAGCTCCTGCCATAACGCTAGATAATTTATCGTCTTAGTCGTTTTTGCCTGATCGTAATATTCTTAGAATGTCGCGGACTTGTTCGCGTTTCCATTCTGCTCATTCCGTGTCTTAGAGAACATATCAACAATCTTATCATCTCCTAAATGTTTTTTCTATAGCAAATGTAAGGTATTCTATAGTTCTTTGAGTTTAGGTTATGCAGACGAAACAACTTGACCATAGATGCGATATGATTTTTGATCTTATCACTGATTTTGTTTCAGTATTCTAAACACCCCATTTTTTCCTTAGATGAAGTCATTGACTGCTGTTAAGTACTTTGGTCTTCCTTCATCGAACCTTTTGTAGTCTTTGAGTCATGAACTGTCACTTCTTAGGACTCCTGCACCTTCAGAAATTTAAGGAACTAAGGTAGAGCAGAGGGTTAATTCTTACTCTTTTTTTGCCAAGATTCCTTAGTTGGTCGTATTTTAGAGTATCAACTCAATAACTCTCATATTTTTAGTATACGCGAAGAGTACTTTATCCGCTAAAAATGTTGCAAAACGCTTGGCAAAGATGTCGAAATGTGAAATTCATTGTAACAAGAATTCTTCTCGTTTTTTTCTGATTCTGTCGGGTTTTTTTTCGTTTTCTTGTCTCATCTAGTAATTTACAGATTTTTTCGATGCAGCTTCATTCGCGTCGCCGCAATGGCTGAAATCGTTAGAAAACGTTCTATACATATTCGTGATGCTAGGATAGCTGGGTTGTACGACTTGGAGCATACTATTGGACAGGGACATTTTGCCGTTGTGAAACTCGCTCGCCATGTATTTACTGGGGAACAGGTAAGTAAATGTTACGCGCTTGTTTGCAGGCTTATGTATCTACGCCTTCCATATCTTAGCCTAATCATAGATTGCAACACAAGCCTTTTCTTGAACTGAAAAAGAGCGCTCTTCTACATACCTCAGAATTTTCTTTTGGTAGTCAAAAGCACGCCTAATGCATAATGGAATCAAAAGATTACCGTTTTAGAAAAGGGTACTAGTCTAAGTAAGTATGCGTACGCTTCTAAAATAGTAATATATTAATAGTAGTAATGACTTTACAAGGTAACTTTCTCTGAATAGCCTCGGTTTTTAAGGTCGCTGTCAAGATTATTGACAAAACGACTCTCGATGCTGAAGCACAAGTGCATGTTATGCAAGAAGTAAGTTTTTGCCTTGAAATTCTCGATGCTTCATAGTGTCTTAATGCTTAGGTTCGATGTATGAAATTGGTGCAACATGCAAACATCGTTCGTCTCTACGAAGTCATTGATACTAATACTAAATTATTTCTTATTCTGGAGCTCGGCGACTACGATATGCACGATTTCATCATAAAACATGAGAATGTGAGTTATTTGCTTTGTCCCCTGATTACAAATCTTTTCTTGCGATTCGCGAACTTCCTGAATATGTTTTACATTAAATTTGAGAAATGGTTTTTGTTGAAAAGAAAAATGTGACGTCTGGCTTTACTTATGCCCCTTTTTCCAAGAATACTTGTCTTTATCTACAGTAGGTCATGTAATCCCTCACCCAACTTATCAGAAGTGTTACTCTAACTGAGAAATTTAGATGGAAATGGTAGTGTTTCTCCCAATAGGTGCCTGCAATGTGTATCTGTAGTATCATTATCTTGGCTAATTATGTGCCGTAAGCTGAATATATTCATTCTTTGGATCTGATTAACATCAAAATCTTGGTTTGGTGTGTCAACCATAGGGAGCATTTAATGAATAAGACTATAACGTAGACGTACATGCACATCTGGCAATTTTGGTGGCTGCTCTAAATATGGAAAGCTGACTCAAGGCTAATGTCCTCTTTTACCTATTTTTTGCTACTAAAGTACACTTTTTAGGGTGTTGCTGAACCTTTAGCTCAGCAATACTTTTGTCAAATCATAACTGCAATTGATTACTGCCATCGACTTCATGTAGTACATCGTGATTTGAAGGTACTTC